AAAACTTATTTTTTTAAATTTAAAATTGCATAAAGATAAGTGAACAATGTTGAAAAGTTGTAACTTCCATATCATTAATTAATTGGGAGTTACAAAATCAAAAATTCTATGATTTTTTTTAATGTAAGAACCATATGAACACAACTATATATATATGAATCATTGTGTCAAATACGAACAAAAATTTGGCATATATATGAACTTGGACTGCATAGCATTTATGAACACAATATGAACATAATAAGAATAACTGCTATACGAAAGGAAATAAATAAAAAAACAGTTATGAACACGATATGAACAGCTTGTGAACAATAGTTCATTCATTATAAACACATTCAAGAGCGATACTTTGTCAATTGAAGTTTTATACATGCATTGCATCCACATCGTTTAAGGTTCACCCCTTGTTTATATATGTTTCTGATCTTATATGGTTGTTCACCCCTTGTTCAATAGTACCGTAGAAATATCGTAGAAATATGAACACATTATGATTCTATGAACGAGTGATGAACATGAACAATAGTACTGTAGAAATATCGTAGAAATATGAACACAATATGAACGAATGATGAACATGAACAAGCCACATAGTGAAAGATTATCATAGAAATAGTATGAACACATAACATATATGCTATGAACACGTGGTGCAATTAAAGAAAAAAAACTATCAATACAAGATGAAATATAAAAAACACAACGCATCGTAATGAATATAATTCGTTTTTCTAATAAAAATATTAATCTATTACCAAGACATTCGTTTTGGTTAATTTCTTCACTTCCCGAACTCGAACTCCAATTGTCATCATCAACCATTTTAATCTTCTCACTGTTGTCGATTTCTTTTCCATTGCGTTTATCCATATTAGTTTGATCGATACCGAAAATTTTACTACAGTGTTTCCTATGCGAATTAAAAACTCATAAAACAATGAACATGGAAAATCAAGATTAAAAAATATTATATATATATATATATATACTAGAAGAGTACTCGCGCAATGCAGCGAGACACATCTTAATTTTAATGTTCTATTTTATTCTGTCTCTATCGATGTTATAATACGATTTTATGCGTTTTAAAGAAAACAATAATGATTTTATTTTTGAATAATATATAAATTTGAAGATATCATAAAAATTTGAAAAAAATTATATCAATTTTAATATCAAATCAACTATTTAAAAGTTTTTACTTTTTATGTAATTTCTTTAATTTATTT